AGGGGGTGGTCCTGGTCCCGCGGTGGGGTTTGGGGGGCAGCAGGGGCAGGAGAGGTTGGCGGGGCGCTGGTTGCGCTCCTCTTCAGCCCAGGCTGGGGCTGAAGGCGGCGGGTGAGCAGGGCTGGTGTCCTCCCCATCTGGGTAGAGAGGCAGCCACGGGGCCAGGCTGTGGGGACGCGTGATGGCACAGCTTGGCCGAGCCCCAAGGATGAGCCTCCTTATTCCAATCCCACCCTACCCCAGCACAAATAGTTTGAATCCTAGACTATTACTTCCACTCTTTTGATGGCTGTAATTTGCCCGTTTTTCCTCTGGGACGGACTCCAGCTACATACCGAGTGGAGAATTGGACTGGTTATCGTTCATTTGGGTATGGAGGGATAAATTAGCCCTCAGCATTTTTAATTCTTCCTTTGATTGTTTACAACATGTGAGGGTTGATACAAAGAGCGAACGTAATGACCCACAGGAGACTTCAATTAAGAAGATTGTATTTCAACAATTTTTTTAAAAGTTTTTTTTTCTTCTCTCTTTTTTTCTTTTCCCCTCCTTCTTCCCTGCTTGCCCTCGCCCTCTCCACTTCAGATGTTCAACCTCAAATCAGCAGAGGGATCGAAACCACTCCGCTGCCGTTCAGGGGGGAAACACCCCTTTCTGCAATGCAAGTCTAACGACAGAAGAGTGAGTATTGCACGTGCAGGAAAGGATTGGGAAATATATATATATATATCATAGTTATGTTTTCATTAAATGGATTGTGCTTTGAAAAGAGAGGAAATTCTTATATCTGGAATTTCGTCTTTCAAACGTTCTTCTTAAAGAAAGAACAAAACATTTTCAAATCTTGTCTCTGGCTCTTTTTAACGTGCATTCCTGTAAAGTGGACAAAGATTGGATTAGTCTAATTACAGGATGGTTCTTTTAACAAGAAATCTGCTACAGAGAGGTCTAAAATGGCCTAAATAATTAAAGTTTTCTTTCTTACCCTCTTCATCTTAAGCAATGAGTAATGTTTGAAGTCCAGACTGAGCCACCTGACTAGAGCCTTTCATTTTTAATTGGTTGACCTTAAGTCCACCAGCTGTCTTTGCTAGCAGCTTTTTTTCTGAAGCCACTCTACAAAGACTTAGAACAAATTAGGAAGACTAAATTACTGCGGACTAACACTTTGTGACCTTTTGACATGCCAAGTGTACATTGCCTCAGAAGCAGTTGTAGATTTGGCTGCATGGTATTCACTAGAGCGTTGCCATTTTGCTGGGTAATATTGTTTTAATTATTCTTTAAGACGGGTTTCTTACTGCAAATGACAAGATGCAGTTAATTTTATCCTCACCAGGAAAAATAAGATTACCTTTGTACTTCAGGTGAAGAATCTGGTGGTGGTTTTGCTTTGTTAGCTGTTGGTGGTTGCAGGTGGTTTTGTGCCTGAGAAGAAAGCTTGGCAGATGCTGCGTGTGAAGGCAGATGAAACGAGCCTTTTAAAATCAGAGGTGTACAATCCCGGGGCTCGCTGGGTAGAGGTTAGCCCATGGTGAGCCCTCCGCGCGGCTCACGTGGCCCATGGACCTGCTCTGACGCTTCCAGCAGGCATCTAACCTCTGTCCCTCGGTTCTACCACCCATAAAATGGGACGAGGCCTTTGCTGCCCGTGGCTGGGCGCTTTGTAGCGCTGCGATTCTCACCGTCCCAGCAAGCAGGAGCGGCTGTGGGAGCCCGGCGAAGGGCTGTGCCAACGCAGCGTGACAGGTTCACGGCGAGTACAGGAATATCTGACTTTTTGGTCACGCCCCGGGTATTTCTGACCAGCCTTACACGTGGCAGAAACACTGCTCGGTTGAGTGCGGTGAGACAGCCTGTTCTCAAACGGAAAAAATAAAGGGGTTTGTGTGTGTTTTCTATTTTTTCAGTCACAAAGAGCCAAAGAAACTGCCAGTTGTTCACACCTCTCAGTCTAGTGAGTTGGTTGTCACCTATTTTTTTTGCGGAGAAGAAATTCCCTACAGGAGGATGTTAAAGGCCCAGAGCCTGACACTTGGGCACTTTAAAGAACAGCTGAGCAAAAAGGGAAATTACAGGTAAGAGTCTGCAATTTGTTTGTTCTTTTGTATATTCTAGTAAGTCAAAAGACTCAGCAGGTATTTTGCAGGTCTACCTGCAATGACACATTTACCTTGCTTTTCAGAGGCTGTAGATCTTCTTGTTCTCTTCCCACTCAACCCAAGAGCCATTTGGAGATGGAGAAAAGGGCCCTGAGCTGCAGCTTGGCAGTGAGGCCACCTCCTCTCCATCTCCCTCTCCAGCCTCCTGCGCCAGTTGCATAAGGATGCAGCTGGCAGGCTTTGAGCTCCAACCCTTGTCCAAAAAGGTTGAATACTAGGGAAAGCTGGGATGGCCTTGTGGCGAAGGCATGGAGCCGTGGGGTTCAGTTTCCAAACTGGGGTCGGCATTGATCTTGGTGCTGGTCTCCTACTTTGCCTACTCATTTAATTTTTAATTAATTATTTTAATTTTTTTTTTTTGGCCACAGTGTGGCTGTAAATGGGGTCAGTGAAAGGTTGGGGTGTTGCATCTAGGTGGACATGTAGCTGAGATACAGCGAGCTCACTTTTCATTAAGGGGAAAAAAAAAAAAAAACCAACCCTCTGCCCTGCAGGGAAAGCTCCAACAGTGATACTGAATTCCTTCTTAGAAACGCCAACAAACCCTGCCTGTCTGGTTTGCGGGGCCCAGCTCCCAGTTTAACCAGTTTGTTGCTTCCCCTGCTCTTCTAGTTCTCATGGCAGTAGCGTTACGTTGGCTATTTTTACTGTGCTTTCCCAGCGGACCTGGACGCTCGTGGGAGCATCTGTTGGCCGCTTCTGCAGGGTGAGCAGGAGAGGGAGGTTCCAGCTTTGAGTTTTGACTTTGCACTGAGTTTGGTGGTGCTTCAAAGAGCCTGAAGGCCTGCCCTGTGCCTGGCAGCCTCTGATTTACCCTCTAAATGGTCCTTTGGGTTTGTTACGAGGACTTTCCAGCTGGTGGTCCATCACTGGCCTGTCTCTAGCTTTGAAAAGTCCACCTATGCAAATCAGAGGTAGGTCACCCAAGGGTGCTCTCAGGCTGGGGGATGCCGAGCTGGGGGTGTCGCTATGGCTGTTGTGCAGTGGGGCTGAAATAACTGCCAGTCCTTCCCCAAAACCATCTTTGCAGCCCGCCCAGCTGCCATCAGATGGCAGCAACCTGCAAGTACACCCAACCTGGACAACCTCCAGGAGAGGTCCCTGGCCTTCTTGCAGGGTTGTGCCATTTTCCAGCCCCTGAAGCCTCTCCCAGCCCACCACGCTTGTCTGGCTGATGCAGCGTTGTGCCCTCCATTGCAGACCAGTTTCCCTGGCCTCACCACTGGTCTGCCACTGCTGGCTGTGCCACTGTGTGTGTCCCCACCAAAAAAAAAAAAAAATTCCTTTTTTTTTTGTTTGTTTGTTTGTTTGTTTGTTTTCTATGACATTTTTTGTGTGATGCCCAAGTGCAGGAATAGGCTACTAAAACCTCTGTGGCCCAAAAGCCCCTCCAGGTGCAATTATTTGTGCCTTGTCAGACTGTAATTACTTTAGAAAATGTTTTTAAGTGACTGACAAGGATGAAACAACGTTTTGCTTAGATCTCACCCCTTTACACCTGGGTAAAGACAATACAGAAATTTATAAAAAGAACTTGGGTACGTGCCCAGTATTTTATCTTGCACAGACACAAGGTGAAACTAATTACACAAATGTGTGTACCTCCAGGGAATCATTTTGATCTAAGCTTTGACTTTTGGCTGGACTTTGAGTGAAACTGCGGGTGACCTTCAGGGAAGAGGGCCACAGTGCCCGGAGTAGCGTGTGTGTTAGGGGGAGGCACTAACTAGGCTGCTTTGGTCACATCTGGCATTGATTTCTTTTTAAGGCACATTTAATAAGCATGTCTTTGAAGCCGTTGCCTTTCATTTAATGCACAAAGACATGCAGAAATGCTCCGCTCTCCAAATTCTTTATTGATTGGATCAGTTTGCGAGGCGGGTACCTCGGGCTCCCGCGATGCCAGAGCTGCGCGGCCGGCCCC